CAAAAGAAAATAAACATAAACGATAATCTTGTAAGTGGACAATTTACGTAAGGGAGACGCTGTTTCTAAGTGCCTTCTGACCTAGTTTGGCATTTCTGCCAACATACACTGATAGCAATATATCTGCAATAAACTAATATCTGTTCAGTTCTGTTTGTAATGTATATTTCTATTGTTTTACAGTCTTTTTATAGGGATATTTAGCGTTTGTCCCTTTCCAGACCCCGTACACAAAGCCATGTCAGTCAAAAAATGGTTCTCCTATATTTCATTTATTCTGTGGAAGAACCTGACAGGCCTGCAAAGAGTCCTGACCTCAACTCCATCCAACACCTCTGGGATGAACTAGAGCGCAGATGGCAAACCAGCCAACATCAAGCTCAACATCTGGTGTAAAGACTGAAACCAGAAGAGTGGAGGCTGTTATAGCAACGTATCACTGCCCACAATGCCAAGTGTCACTGGGTGCAACAGTCAAGTGTCCACATACTTCTGACCATGTGTTTTATCAGAAGTACCAATAGTTACTGTCCCTAATAGCAATATTACAAAATTCAAGCACCTTCCAAGCTTATGTCTTGTCTGAGTACGAGCTTGTCTTCAGTTGGATTCCCTGTTTAATAACAAATAACCGAGAACAAACCCCATCTTTGTTCTGTCGTGACGTCCTCTGTCACTATTATTTGAGGCGGGACAGGGCCCAAACAGAATATGTCGCATTGTGTTGCTGTTAGGCTGGCCCCGTTCCCAGTGAGCATGGCCATCTGACTCAAGATTCCCTAGAAATTTAAGTTTAAATCTCCTTCTCAGTCCTTTTAGCTCCATTAGCAGCGGAGATAAACCAGAAGACACCTTTGACCTGATAAGGGATTACCAGACAAATGAAACCAGCCGATTTTAGTTTGCATTTAGCTCTGGCGTGTGCCAGAAAATTCCGCCTCCACTTTTGTAAGTGCTGGATCAATCTGTGTTTAAAAAGTGTCTGCAGAGATAAAGCAGTGGGCTAAATGAATACAGCAGTGGTCTATCTAGACAGCATTCCTGCTGAATCCACAATACAGCTGCAGATACACTAAAGACATCATCTGTCTCCGCTCATCTCATGTTCTGCCACTAACATAATAATGTAAGTAGGCTAAGTAGCACAAGAGGGCCTATCTGTGTACAGTCGGGCCTTTGTGCACACTTCACGGTCAATATCAGACACACTGTAAATCTTAACTCAGGCAAAAGACGGGGAGAGAAGGAAGAAACAAATTGCAAACTATCATGTTTTTTCTATGCTTCCTCTTGAGCAGGTAACTCAAAGGCCACAATGCAGTTGCACAAACTGTACAGTGTTTGTAGTCTTATAGTCATGTTTCCATCCAAATGTAGCATTTAGTTAAACAATAAGGAAGACATGGACATTATGAAAAGATAAAAGGTAAATTTGCTCTTTAATCACAAGAAATAAGTTATTAAATCCAACTGAGAGCTGCTTACTTTAATAGCAATTGTGGCTAAGCTATTACACAACATTTACCAGCATCAAACTGGTAGGACTTTGCTGGTTTGTGTTTGTCAGGATACTGGACTGAACTGTTATGGTTTCTAACAGACGGTGTCCTCATTCCAGCGACTGGAGAAGCTGTCAGCTGCCATTAAACCAACCGACCGACTACACCAGCGTGTTTCTGCAGCCAAACAGTGTTTGTCCTGTTGACCGGGATTCCCGGCTCTGCTCTGCCGTTGCTGACCGTACACTGTTGAGGCCGGGAAACAAATGTCTTCATTCAGCAAGACACAAAAGCAACCGAATGCCAAAGTTTACTGGTCAAGTGGGTTTGACAAACACTTTTTGGTTACTTGCCAAAGTGGCTGGTAGAGCAGAGAAAGTTACAACCAACAACAAGTAAAGATCATTTTTTACTGAAGGCTAAGGTTAATTAGAAAGTGTGTTCATAGTATAAGTTGTTTTTGATTAATCAATTAATTGATAAACTGCTGTAACTATTTAATTAACTTGTTACACATGTTAATATTTAACATTTGAGAAATATCTATTTGAGTACTTTGAGTATTTTATGTCAGTTTATAGTGTTTAAACAGCTACTGTAAAGGAATTATGTTGTGTTTTTGGCATATCTTTTTTATTTTGTTTAAAAATGGTTTAAATTCTGATTCCCTTATGAAAGAAAATGTCAAATAAAAAAATATAAAATGGTTTTATATTCTATGCAGTCCTGACAGTTGAATAAGGTACTACAAACAAATGTAAAATGTCCTTTTCCTAACACTATTCCAGATTTGGTTCAACAATTAGGTGTCCACATACTTTTGGCCATGCAGTGTTTTGTATATGGGAATTTGTTCTTCTGTTTTTGATCGCAATTTTATTTTTTTTGTCTTGAAATTACAACCAATAGGCTCTTTTCAAATTACAGCCAAAAGGAATAACTGTTTTCATGCCATCATTTATATTTTCATAAGTTTTACATTACAACCTTGGGAGTGTGACATCGTACCACCAACCGGCTGCTCCACTGATCAAAGCCTCTCTTTCTGCCACTCTGGTTGTTTTTAAAAAAGGAAGAAAAATGGGGCTCGGACCGACACTGAGCCGCTGTGGGTCTTTTCTTTTTTCTCCCCCAGCGACAAGAATGCACATAAGACCTTCCCCCTCGTCCCTCCGCCTCCCCTACTCTCTTTCATAACCCAGCTCTCATTTGTTGGTTTAATTAGGCTTCACCTTGTTTGAGTCCAGTGGGCCGAGAACTTCTGGGGAAGCATGTGAAAGGGAAAAGGGAAGGGGGGAGCTGGTTCGAAGGTCACACAGTTGGGTTTTTCTGGCTGCAGAAATCTGGAGCAACTCTCCGACATGTAGGCCAATGGTAGCAAATACGGGTACGACAGGAACTCTGTGGTTGTTTTCTAATTTTGTGATATGGCTTTTTGACCTACTTAGTAACCTGAAATGTTTGGTGATTCAACAAATGTGGTGTTGGGTGCATCTTCAAACTGCCAGTTGCTGAAATGCACACGGTGGCCAAAAGCTGAATGTATGTACATTGTCTACAGCTGCTGACAGAGCCTGACCAGTGTATCTTTGGGCTGCACACAATGATGCTTCACACAATCGTGTCCAACAGTTTGTGTTTGGGCCCTTTCCTGTTTGAACAAGGCAACCGTCCGTGTGCAAAGCCGGGTCCATAAAGAGATGCTTTTCTCAGTTTGGTGGTGGTGGGTGGCGGCGGGGGGGCTGGCCTGCACACAGCATCAGTGTCGGACCTCACTAATGCTCTCGTGGCTGAATCGGAGCAAATCCCTGCAGCCAGGTTCAACATCTGGTGGAAAGCCCTTTCTCTAAGACTGTGGGCTGTTACAGCAGCAGATTAACGCTCTGGTTTTGGAACGATGTGCTCAACAGTCACATACGAGTAGGAGTGCAAGGAAATATCGAAATATATCCTATTACGATGACAGTTTTCTTAAAATTAGATTAAAAAAGAAATCTATCTACGTATCTCCTTGCTTACAGTATCGCAATATATTGAATCGTAACCCCTGTATAAACCTCTCTGTAACGTATCACCAGGTTCTTACATTCACAGTCCTCTATATGGGTGAATGTTCAGGTGTCCGCATACTTTCGGCCATGTAGTGCAAATTATGTACATACATAAGTGTATTTTTTATTCTAAAATCAAGTTTAAATGAAAATGTGTTTTTATTTTTTGTCATGAACTTCCAGCGATGTTTATTGTTTATTATGTGTTGTCATCAATTGTTTTATGTTACTGTTGTCTTTAAAAAATTCAATATTTGATATTCAACTTTAAAATATCCTTTACGTCTCTGGCACAACATTTTATTTATTATTATTTTAATAACCACTGAAAATCTGTGTTTTCGATATATAACGCCCGTAGGTTTGTAAGGTGGCTCTCTAACATCTGTTGAATCTTTGTGGAGAACAATGACAAAAATTAGTAACAAAAACATAAACAGGAACTCTGTTCTATACCTCGAAATTGTGCCATATTGATCGTCATACTTCCTCATAGTGCAGTTTATATCCGTCACTCGCAGCCGACCTAAGCTAGGTTAAGTTGCGAGCGACAGATGTACAGCTAACCACTTCAGTGACAAACGAACGGGCTGAAATCAGACATATTTTATCAGGAATGAACTTTGTGTTATGTTAAGGAGGAAATATCTACTAAAATAATGATATTGTAATGTTTTTTTACCGTCAGAGCTCAAAAAGTCAGGTGCGATATGACTGATTATCGCAAACACTCAGACCTCTGAGCTACCGCCATCGCATTAAACATGTTTGATATTTACAACTGAGATGGTTACTGACAAAAACATGTTGCTGATAGAATTATAAAGGTTTCTTGTACGGTGCAGGTTTTGGTTTGTTTGGGTTCTCGCTGCCTAAATATTAGCAAACCAGGGCTTAAAGCTACTGGAGGTTATGTATTTCAGACAAATTTTTTGTCATAATTTTTGAAACCGTCTTCAAAATCAACAACAACATCCCGACAGCAATCGATAAACCAAATATTCTGTAGACAAAAATCTGTCTCCATCTGTCGAGAGTCGCCTGAAAGGAGAAGGTGGGATGTTTTCTGTTGGATACTCTACAAATCTAGCTGTGTGTAGTTAGTTTCTCCAACAGACTTCAGCTTTAAAACTACAGTCACGTGGAACCACAGGTGGTTTACTGTCAGCTTTTACCAAAATGAACGTCGTTTGTGTCCTAATTTCTTTTAGTCTATTAGTATTTTCAGGTTCTGTATCTTTATGCTGGATGTGAACGTCAGCTGAAGTCGTTGCAACTCAAACACCTGCCGTCGTTCACTCCAACCAATCACTGCAGAAGCGATGTCACCGACTGATTCATAATCAAACAAGATGTCGATGACTACTCAGTGACATCAGCTGCTGCAGAGGCTGTCTGGTTGACGGCGGCTCGAGTTTGAGAACTTCCTCACACATTTCCTCTCTCTTACCTAGATACAGCGAGGCGTTCTCCTTCTTCACGTTGTCGTCCAGGTAGGTGGGTCCCAGCGTGTAGATGGGCGTGGATCCCATGCCCACCAGGATCTGCGCGATGACGAACAGCGCCACGTACAGGTTGTGCTCGTTGCCCTCCTGGTCTCTGGGACAGGAAGTGATGTCGACGCGGTCCCTGCCGCTGGCGTTGCTGTTCATGCACAGGCCCTCGTTGCCAGAGGACGAGTTGACCTCCTGGATCTGGTACGCCGGCGAGATGAAGTGAGGTAACGAGAAGAGGGCGGCGCCCACGGCGATGAACACCCCGCCCACCGCCAGCCAGCGAGGCCTCTGTCCCCGCCCGCCAAAGTAGCTGATGAAGACGACCACCACGAGGCTCCCGATGTCGAAACAGCTGACGAGGAGGCCGGACTCGGAGCTCCTCAGGCTGTACCTCTTCTCGATGGTGGTGATGACGCTGCTGAGGTAGCCGGACACCATGAGCGACTGGATGAAGGTCAGGTAGCACATGCAGAACAGGAAGCAGCGAGAGTCCTGTAGGATCACGGCCAGGTACTTCCTGCTGGGCAGACGAATCTGAGCCAGCCGGGAAGCGAAAAACCCCGGGGGCTTCCTCCTCGCCATGTTTTTACTCCTACGGATCTCCGTGTTCTCCATGTAGGAACTCGGCCTGTTCAGCGCCGACTTCCCCGGCTTGGGCAGGTAGTTCGTTCTCGTCGGGGACTCCGCCTGAAAGGACTCGGTCTTGGCCGGGAGCTGGATGAATTCGGCGCTCTCTTCTGCCGTTATGGACGCAGAACTGGCCAGTAAGGTCTCCTCTTGGGGGCCTTCTTCGTTTAAAATAGGCAAACTTTTAGATTTGAAGTCCGTGCCCGGCTCCTCCTGCTCGCTGGAAAATCCATCCTCCTTCTGAAGGGACTCAGACAACTCTGCCTCCTCGTGGTCGGCCATTATTTCCAGTCAATCCCACCTTAGTTTTGTTGTTTTTTTAAGTTAGCCGGGAAAAAAAAAACGCCCTAGATCCAAGCCTACTAAAGAGTTCAAGGGCTGCTGCCCATCACATTTATTATTAATAGGAACATCTACTCCCACAAATACAGTCTGGCACACAAAGAGGCCCCAAAAAAACAAAAAAAAAAAACAAAAGCAACAATGTCAACCAATGAGAAAGTAACACTCACAGCTTCTGCTTATCTGCAGCCTCTGGGGTTTGTTTATCTTGTCCTGCACATTTGCACACTTCTTGCCACCATCTGAATCCAGAAGTGGAGAGCGTCCAGGCCTCCTCAGCTTGACCAGCGTTGCTCCAGGGCCACGGATCTCCCTGCAGATGCACAACAGGACGCCGCCACCGCTGCTGCTGCTGCTGCTGCTGCTGGCAGGGACGAAATGAACTTGCAGAGCATGCGCCGCATCCCTGACACCCTCCTGCCAATTGGAGATCACACAGTTACAGTGTCACTTCTTTCTGTACATTAGATGGTGGTGGTGGTGGTGGTGCCCCCCCCACTTCTCCTCCTAACTCCTCCTCCCCAAGTCAAGGGCATCACCCCCTCTCCACGATGCTATCACCGCACCAGCTGTCCTCCCAGCGGGGCGACAGAGGCTGGCATTTTCTTTTAGTGATTATAATTCTGTGTAAATCCCTTTGAGATGTGCGTGAACACATTTAAAAATAGAGGAAAAGATTAAATAAAAAAAGGAGGTTGGAGGAGAGGAGAGGTGGGGGGAGGGAGTCGTCGAGGAGAAGTCCGAGAAGTGTTGGAGGAGAAGGTGCTGCTCGGAAACAACCGCAGTGCTCAGCTGCTCTCAGCCGCTGCTCTGATCTGAGTCTGCGCCAACCTACACGGAAACCCAACACAGGACACTTCAAAATAAAATGTAGCTCAGCTTTACTTTGCTTTAAAAAGGCTTAAAAACATGTGTAGGTCATTTATATTTCATGATGGAATAAGAAAAAAAATCAGGTAGTTTGTTTTATTTCCTCCCCAACTGTAACCATGCACAATGTCGAATTAATGAGGTCGCCGGATTCCATTAATTATCTAATGATTTAATTGTTTTCTTTGTAAAATAATGCAACTCGTTTCTATCTGGTCACATTTTTACTCATTTCTGAATCGGTGCTGTCTATTAATAAATTCGGCTGCTTAATATTCACCAACATTAAATTAACTGCGCAGTATTTGGCTCAAACCACACGGCTGCCCACTTCAATAGCTAGAGGACTTGAGTGGGGAAAAAGGCGATTAATCAACGTTTGCTTGTTATTAAAGAGCACACAGCTAAATAATACTGAATAAAACAATTAATTAAATGTTTGCTGTTCTGTTATACGGCGTGTTTGGCGTTAAAATCTGACAAATGTATATGTATATATATATATATGTATATTAACTGGCGTGTTAGTGCTAAGATCGTCGATTTAGCCTGGGCTTTTACTTTGAAAAGTGCAACGTCAGAGCTAGCCGCGCAGCTAGCAGCTAACCTGCAGAGATATCACCGATGTAAATATAAAACAATAAATAATAAGGGCGACACTGGCGCTTCACTTACCCGACACTCTGGAGCAAACACACGGCCTTTAAACCTTCATTTTCCGAGCTACACGACACCGTCCGAGAGCACCGGCCGTTAAAAACCGGATAAAAAACACGTTCATGTTAAAAAACAAAAATAAAAATCTTCGGCTACAAAACGTCTTCTGTTTTGACCGGAAACACTTCAGAATAAAAGCACATAATAACGTGTGTCACGACAGTTTGAAATGTAATATTTAATTAATTATGGTAAATTTATTGATTTTGTAATGTTAACATTCATATATGTTAATGCGACATATCAAAAGTTACCCTAAAATTTCTGTGAATTTTTATGTGAATTTAAAGTTTATATTAAAACTCTCAAACTTAAACACTAAAACAAATAAATAAATAATAATGTATGGTGAACCGTTTACAGAAGAATGTTTTTTAGTCATTTAAGTCATTATATTTTTAAAATATATTTATTTAAAGTCATATTCTTTATCCCCTTTGATTTATGTTTAAGTTTATGGGTCTAGCACCTTTCAACAACATGACAAATCAAAATTTAACTATAAAACAAACACAAGCCAATATAAAAACATATAAACATAAGTAGGGTTTAAGTATAAAAAAGAGGATACACATTTCCAAA